TACAATACGAAGAAGTGTATATAGAATACCTATATCAATTGGTCAGTAAACTCATTTTTTCACCTTCGTGCCTTTGAAACACAAACGCAATCGAATAAAATGCTTGGCCCACAGAGCAAGAGCAATCTGCTCTGTAGAATGTCTTAATGAAGAACTGAATATTATTAAACAGTTGCTGAGTGAGTTTGGTTATTCAGGAAAATTCATCGGTAAGAATATGAATCCAGAGTCACGGAGGGTCAAAGTAACAACAGTTCCGAAAAAGGAGGGCCTTATTCTTACAACTTGAGTTCGTCGGGGATAACCTCAGAGAGATATTAACACAACACCAAAAGAATGCAGTAAAAAAAAGAGCATTTCCTGCTACTGAAGTACACTGTCTCTTCACAACCTCCCTCATTTTTATGTTCGGGATTTAAAGATAAACTGCCTAATTTCGCCTCTTCTGTGTGTGTGAGTGTGTATCTATCAATTTGACTGCTCCTGTGGAGCATGCCAGTTACATGGGTCGTACAATCAGGCGTGTCTGTTTACAATTGGTTTATGGTGGCTAGCAGTGGAATCCAGGATGCGCATTTCGTCCTGCGCATCCTGGATTCCACTGCTAGCCACCATCCACCAATTGTATACAAATCAAATCCCCAGACATCGTCGAAGCATCTGCACAAGAAGCCGACATGTCAACCTGAGACCGAGCACTTCGGTCCAATTAATCGACGGGAAAATCAAAAATTCAATTCAAGGCGTGTCTGTTGTCTGATTTCTGAACAATACCATGCGGGGTTAAGTAAAGGGTAAACAGAACACAAGACTGATTTTAACTAGGCTTTTAATGTCATCTACCGCATACCAACTAATCTTAACTTCACCTTAAGAGTTCGTCTACTGCATATTACTGAGGCTGGCCGTTGAAATCTACATTAAGAAACTTGACTTATGGTTCCAAAAGAAGCTGGCTGGTTCAGACACTGTTCTTACTTCCTTGGTCATCCAGGCTTTAATTATCCTCAATTTGTTGTGGAAATTCCCTTAATTTTATTTTATATTCTATTTGCTATAACATTAATGCGCTTATTATAGTTTTAGCGTCTCACTTGAATTGTAATTTGATTGGCATAGGCAATCGGCATGTGCAATCACCGCCTGTGTTTAACTTAGTGTCCCTATTTCAGTCTCAAAGCACCACAAACATAACAAAATACGGTCTTGGTTCAGGGTAAATCTACTTAGAAATTATCAGGAGTGCATTACTGTTAACCTCATTCATATGAAGATTCAATGAACTTAACACCCAGTGAGATCTTATCCTGTCAACTGTAATTTCACAGTGAATCAGAAGTAGACGAGTAGACTATTAACTGATAGTGATACATTCTGAGATACTCATCTGAAGTCATCGCCGCTATCTTCGACAACGGTCTACCAATCCAAGACTAACTATCTCAAGCAGCTTCACCCTCTTTTTTTCTTTCACATTCCCAGTGGAACATAGGGCTTCAAGCTAGTGGCTTGAAGTTTCTGTAGCAGTGGTGATTATTTTTACAGGATGGGGTTCCTAGCCTCATGCCCAACCTTTCCTCTTTACCAACATTATTTCTGGCTTAGTGTGGTTAAGGATTGCGTCGGTGGCCGGGGTTCGAACCCTGGATCATATGCATGGTGGGCGAGCGTCCTAACCTCTGTGCCACCGACACACAAGCTTCACCCTCTGGTATGTTGAAATTAACAAATAATGGTTACTAGACTGAGTTGGTAAATTGTGTATTGCAGTTTTCTTAAATATTGCTCGCCGAATACGCACATGCTGAGGGGGGTGGGTGGGTTCGATTCTTACCCGACGTACACCTAGAGTTCACTGATACGGTAGTCCGCCCAGAGAAGGAACGAAAGAAAGAAAGAAAGGTGGGCATGAGACTAGCAAACCCTTGCATACGACCGCCACTGAAATTTCAAAGCACAAGAGATTGAAGTCCATAAGGAAGCAGGAAGGAAGCTATGGACTTTGATTTTGTGTTTCCTGGTACCCACTTTATCTTAGAGCGTATAATGTTCCTTCCGTGATATGAATCTGAGAAATCCAGTTCTGAGCTACTTGAACTCCTGACTGGCCTTTTGCTGCAGTGTAATATAATATATATATATATATATCACGAACTGGCAGAAGCTGGAATTCACGAGCCATTGAATCAGGTCCCCATAGACTAAGTGGTCAGCAACCTTGCCTTCTAACAGGAAGCTCCTGGTTTCGAACCCTGGTAGTGGATACGTACTGCTGCTGACGGGGAGGAGTCCCAAACTAGAACGAAACAGCTATCCAGTACTCTTTAGCTGGTTTTCCAAAAGTTCTACAACTAATGTCAAATACTGATGAAACCTTTATTCAGTAAAATCTTTGAAAACCAAAAGTTTATAGCAAATGAAATTATCAAAACTAGCTACTCAGACAAATCAACTTCGGTATTCATCATGGTCTTATCTCAGATTTCTGACCATTGGAAATATCTTTAATGCTATTTTAAGTGTTCTATATGACTTTGAGAAGGCCTTCGACAGCTTTGACTGCGGAGTAATTTGGAAACTACTCAAGTACTACGGCGTACCCCAAATATTCATTAACCTTATCCAACAGCTGTACGACAACGCCGGCGCATGTCAAGTGATCCATAACGGAAAACTCAGTGATGCGTTTGTAGTAAACACAGAAGTCAGACAAAGGTGCTTATTATCACCAATAATATTCCTAATTGTGGTGGACTGCATTATGCGTCAGACAGTGAGTGGGAAACGAGAAGACAGGGATATCCTGGACCGACGTGAAGAACCTAGAAGACCTGGATTTCTCGCATGGATGACTTATGTTTGATGTCACACACACACACAAAATCGGAGACTTACAAGCGAAAACCGACAAACTGGTCGAAGAAGCAGCAAAGACAGGACTCCTGGTGAGCATAGACAAGACGGAGGTGATAAGAATAACCAGCCAACAACAACAACGGCAGCAACATCCAGCGTCAATCACCATCAACGGGAGGGATTTGAAAGAGGTTACTCCATTCACCTATGTAGGGAGCATTGTCTCAACTACAGGAAGTCGGAACGGACGAGAATCGGGAAGGCGAGAAACACATCCATTAACCTGAAACCGATCTGGAAATCTTCGTCACTCAGACAGCATCAAAAACAAAATTCAGTCGGATTTTCAATATAAACGTCAAGTCAGTCAGTTCTTCTATATGGATCAGAAACTTGGTGGGCGGGTCGCAAAGAATATTTCCAACAGCCTGTTGCAGACCTTTATCAACAACTGTCTTCGCTGGCTCTACACTGAAGATCAGATGGCCGGGCCGGAAAGAATCACCTCCGACACGAAACTATGGGAACAAACAAAACAAGAACCAATCGCCAACCAACAAATATGCAGGAGAAAGTGTAGATGGATTGGACACTCACTCGCTGAGGAGTCTGTTGGGTGAAATCGCGCGTCAGGCAATTGCTCGAGTGGAACCTGAAAGGGAAGCAGCGAGTGGGACGTCAGTGCGTGGGTGACATGGAGGAGATCGCGTGGAAGGGAGTTGAAACAGTATGGACTAATTAACATCGATACAGGTGAAAAGTACAGTAGAAGACAGAAGCAAGTGGAGACGTGCGGTTGAAGCCCTATGTTCCACTAGGAACCCAGGGGAACAATAATAATAATAATTTGAGAAATAAACCGAGATTTTAAAAAATTGTCTCTGTAGTAGTAGAATCGACAAGAGTAAAAAATAGATACCAAAGTCTAAGTGACCTTGGTTTAACCAGTCCGATAGCTCAGCATTACAAACCATTGCAAGTCGTAATCCTCGTTAAAAATGTCTCCTAGACCTAATTTTTGACTTCTCTGTGGAATAAAACATGCATACGTAGAGGGATAATGACTTTTCAAAAGTACTGATGGGCTACTGATGGTTATACATTCAAATGCAACCAGTTTATATGAGGAAGCCTGTATAAGTTGGTGAGTCATACATAATTGGTGATTCTTTTTAGACACTTTCATCTCGAAATCAAAGCTCTCCCTTAGTAATATATTGCGTATATACAACCAGTATCTGCTACAGCTGGAGAAATATTGAATACATTGTTTTTATATGTCTATAATCATATCTATGAGAATCTGGGACCAGTTTTTGCAGCATATTAGAGATATATGACCTATAAGATTCATTTTATTACATATATATTGTAGATAGACTTCTTTTTAAATTAAGTATCACTTTTCGCCTAGAAGAATCTGATTGGTTTAACCAAGGTCATTTGACTTGGGTGTTTATTCTTGTGTTTACTCTTGCTGTAGAATCCTTTGATCCAGTCTAAAAATTTAAAATGGCACTGACTTTGTATGCATAAAAGATAACCATTCAATAGTTTTTATGCATACTGTGACACAGCTTCCTACCACTGAACTTGCTATTATGAGTTTTCTGTTTAATTAGATCAAAGTCCCAATACGATATTATCTTGTAGATTGTTACTTTAAGTGGAATTCAGAATATGCATCCCGTTTTATCTCGGAGCGGTCATTTGGATGTACTTGCAATCCACAGTGAGCACTGGTATTCTCTCACTGAGAATAAAACCCACCACCTATCGTCTCAGATGCCAGAGAGTTATCTATAAGTCCACTTGAACCAGAGTATTTAAAACGATTATGAGTGTTAAAATCAAATCTCCACAGGAATAACAACGCTCAACATTGAGGATGAAGACATACTGGACCGATGAGTCTCAAATAGGACGGAATGAGCATTCTAGATTCCTCAAACACGGTCGAAGTACCCGTACTCACAGTCAACATGTTAACTTAAACTCAACATTTCACTTAACATAAACAGTGTAGGGAAAATAAAAGAGCCAATTTAAACAAGATATACATATGATCGGACCTTATAAAAACAGTGTTTCAAAGATTCAAACAGGTTTAAAACGGGCGAATAATAATAATCTTAAACACTTACCTTCCAATGACGTGTAGGAACTGTTATAGCAATAAGTACTTTGTATTCACTACCGCTTGTTGTTGTCGTTGTGGTTGTTGTTGGTGTCGATGGTGTCGGCGAATGGTTAACAACATCTCGATTTAAATGTTGAATTGGCATGTAGAATGAATAGATTGATATTTTATGTTTTTAACCAGTAGATTGTATTTGTTTCTTTTTTGTCTAAATTTAGAGCATTTGTTAAGAAAACATAAAGTTGTAGTCCATAAAAGTGGATAAACTTTATTGGGTTTAATAGCAAAACAAAAAACGAAAATAATCGATTAACAACTTAACGTGCTAATTTTTCTCCGTTAGTCAACTTTTAGAAGTGATGTTTTGAATCAATGTGAATGGCTTAATTTGATTTCATTATGCATTTATGTCATTCTAGCATCCTGTTTGTGGTGACTATAAAAATGTTAAAAAATTCAGGTGATGTAGGTTTTGATACAATACAATACATTTCAGATTTCACCACAAGAAACAATTGGAACGGCCTTGTTATAACCAATTGAAGAAGACAGAAGAATAGTAACATAAGCTAAGCAGGCTATATTAGAACCAACAAGGCGAAATATAAAGCTTTTGTATTCAGATCAAATTTACATCTTGTTAGTTTTTAAATAAATCCTAACAGGCCTATTTTCTTGCTTGAATTACATTTCTAATGCTTCTGTTATGAGTTTATAGTTCATGTACACAGTTCGAAAATATATACAGTGATCTAGTTTATCTATTTATCTTAAAGCACTTTTATATTCCTTATTACAAATTTGCTGTAATATAGAAATCTCGAAGGTGATCAGTACAAAAATGTGATCAAAACTTGAGCACCGAATCTGAGTTTAAATTAACTGTGTGTACTCATAACAACGCTGAGCAATAATTGCCTTCATTTTAATAGATAAATAAGGGAATTTCCTTGAAACTGTATAACAAGATTGCTTCCAATTATATTCATGGTGCGCCATTGTCTTACTTAACTCACCAGTATGCCCCACATAATCAAGTAAATAATTTCCAAAACTGTTTATAACTTATTTAACTTAAAACCTCTGGTGGTGCCAGACTTGTTTGAAGAAACAGAGATATTATCAAACAAAAGTCTAGCATTACTGTCGCCTGTGATAAGCAGCCCTGCCATTAAAAAATAAAGATCATGGAACAGATGCCATTTTAAAATGTCACAGAATAGCACCATAGAAAAAGGGAAAATCACGAAAAGAAATTAGGGGTTGTATAATTAATAGTACTAATTTTGATTATATTTTATACCCAACTCAAAGGTATAAGCTCTCCTATAATAAATGAAGCTGCCGTCATAAAAACAAATAACTTGAAAAGTGGCTCAAAAGTTTATTATTTAAAAGGATAAAATACCTAAATCAACTGACTAACAGGCATTATTACATCGGAGCATTTTGACAACAGAAGTAATAAAATGTCATCTGCCTATTAATAACTTCGGAAATTTTCGACATATATATGACGTACAAGTGAATAAAACAAGAAAGTAAAAATGCATAAATACCTAGAGCTTAATTTAACGAAAACAAGCATTGACTTTCGAAAAAGTGCTGAATCTCAAAGACTTGAATTGACAAGCTTAAACAAAATTCATACATATTGAGATGTGATACGAGTAATCGGTTGTTCTTCTCTGTCAGGAATAAACTACCGATAGTTAGCAGTTCCCTCTTAGTTATGATTATCCTGAACATGACAATGCCGTTAATTTTTGTCGGCACACACAGAATTAAAGGCCTTGGTAAGCATTAGAATACCTTGCTTCTTTAAATATGCCCTTTTGTTAACCAGTATCATCACTTATGGATACACTGTCGTGAGTGAGACAAATCCTAAATATAATTTAGCCTATTTCTCGACTTATGAAGTGAAAAATACAAAAGCCTTTGTATGCTACTGTGAGACCTACAAGTCCTATCCGAGGGAAATGTTTTTTAGCTCCTGAGGTATATTCTGCGAAACTCAGACTAATATCCCATCGTCAAAAATACTATTTTTCTAAGCCACTTAATAGTGCAGGAACACAATTTTTCACAAAGTTGCTCAGCCTCATATAATTCAACATTTAAGAGTCACATGTGACTATCTTGCTTCCAACAATGTTCTAGATATTAAGCAACCGTGGCTGCTGTCGCACATCTAGCTGTCCATACTGAGTCGTCATCTGTAACAATCTATGAGTAGAAGCATTGTGTGGCCTTAATATTGGATTTGACATAAATAACACTTCCTCCTCTACTCTGATTTCTGTCACCCCTGAATAGGTAGTAGTTATCAATAGAAATATCCTTGTCGCAAGTCCAACAAGTGCGCCATGTTTCAGTAGTCACTATGACAGATGGATTGTAAAGTAAGGATAATGTTTTGAGGTCAAACAGTGTGTTGCATAAGGAACCAGCGTTTATCAGACAGAATGACAGACAGTAAGGAGTGATGATGAAATCACATATAAACTTAAAAACGTTGTCCTTTCTATTTATTGTGTTTGGAGTAGGTTGCTAAATAGGTACTGAGTCAAATGACAATGCCAGGATGATTCATTGCACCAATATCAGCACAAAGAGAGGTGCCGCCGTTGGTTACCTTGGAAGATGGAGAGTGGACATAATACCGTGAGTGGAATAAGTCTCCTTGCCTTTTCCAGATATGTGGGTTGATAGCATGTGTGTGTGAGTCAGAAATTTCGTATTGGCTATTAAAATTGAGTTTGGATGATGGGAAGTCAGGTATTTCTTGTGCGTCACACTCATGACTAATATTTTGTGTTTGAGTTGATTTTGTAAGCTTGAAGTACTTAGACAATCATAAGTAGCTTGTATCTTGTGGTTTTCAGGGATAGAGAGTGAAGAAGCCTAACGCACTTGCTCCTTAATAATAATTTATATTTTCACATAAACGTATAAATTTACATGAAAATGCATGCCATTTTTATAGGCACGATCAAGTATTATATAATCTCAAATCGTAGATTGTCTACAATCTGCGTCAGTGGCACAGTGGTTAGGACTCTCGCCGACCATCCACATGGTCCGGGGTTCGAGCCCTCACCGACGCACACCTGATATCTATAGTCGGCCTGTGAAATTTGGGCTACCGATATCCACGCTGAAAATTCCATACTTGTACCAAAGATGTGGTGTGGAACCAAGCTGTAATCGAAAAAAATGTTTCAACAGCTAAATATTTGATATATTTATATGTATATAAATACACTCATTGTCTGATCCAGGCCGTATATTTATTGGATTGTACAGTTGTCCTCCAGGTTGAGCGGGAAAATCGACTTCGTGTCGTTTACAACCCGTGGTTGTAGGCATACGATATCCAACCAATATTGAGGTAAGTACAACATTTACAAGGGATTGAAAGCTGTTTTAGAAAAGTAAAAGTGCTAAGGTGAATCATTAAAGTGTAATGAAATAAGTGCAATATATCGTTAATATATACATTTATATAGGAAATAGAATGGGAAAGTAATTAACCCCTAGGCTGACAACGTTCATTTGCAATGTATAATGCTCCTCATATAGATCTTACTATCATGATGCTCACTTATGCTTTTAATACATTTATCCTCTGAAATAAATATATATATTTCTTCCTGTTTATCCAAGAACATACCAATTGTACAGGCATGGATAAGTTATCATATAAATTACACATAATTTGGTGTATGATGAATTTACAGTTTGGTTGTTCTTTCTGACATTAGAGTCCATCGGAACAGTCAGCTTTGAGGTCTGTTTGTGTAGCGCATAAACAGATATGGAGATATTGTCTTCGCATTAACAAAAAACCCAGACATCAGATGAATGTAATACAGATATATGGGAAAAATAAAGCTTGAAGTCAATTCTCCTATATAACTTTGTTGTGAACAGCACCCTTGGCTTAAAGATTATTGATGTATTATGTTGAGATCAGTGATATATTTATTCCATATTTCAGCAGTCTTGTCGTAGTTTTATAACAGGAAAGAAATTTGATCGCGGATGCGAAAACCACATAAGGTCATGTTAAGTTGTTTTACTGCATCAAATGGTGCCGAGGTCGTTTCCATAATCCTCCATTTGCTCCATTTGTGTCTGCATGGCGGACTGTACTCGTAAGTTGAGTAAGATGTTGAAAACTGTTTGAAAACCAGTTGCTTCTTCATTTCAGATCATGAATACTCATTTACAGCATGTTCGCCAGCGTCTTCAAATGGTAGAATTGGATCGTTCATGGAATTTGAGTGGTTATGAGATAGACGGTTTGGAATTAATCTTCATTTCAGTTTAGTTGCAGCGTTGTTCGACCTCGACCAGAAGATGAAAAGGAGCAGCAGAATAACAGAAAGAGAAAGTATGTGAAAATGAAAAAGACATTAATATTTTATGCACTTATAAATGTTTATGTCAATTGTATATTATACATTAGTAAAAATTTACGTATATTTTAGTTGTGTTTTCACGTATTTATGCGAAGTCTTAGAGTTTATTTAGCGTCATAATGTGTATTAATGAGTCTGAGCGTTTTAGCGTTCTAATGTCTGGTGCGTTTTAGAAATAAGTGATGGGTTCTGGTAGGGATAGTCATTTGGACAAAACAGTTTATATAGCAAGCGTTTGAAGGTTACAATGAGGGATAGGTCCTATTTCTAAGGGTAAACTAATGCTGTATGTTCCGTACTATGTCTTTATGCATCCATGCTACTAGTTTATTTATATTTTTAGATTGCAAAGGGTGTTGAAGTGCGTCTTTTAGGTACATTAGGAGATTAGTGCTTGATTCGTTCTAGGAGTAAATAGTTTATTAATATAATCAGTAGAGTGAAACAGTCTGTATAGACAGCGTTTGAAGCTTGTAACCGAAGAGCAAGTTCTGATATCTAGGGGTAGGCTATTCCATATTTTAGAATACATGACTGTGAAGAAGTTTTCACGGAGTGTTGACTTAAAAGAATGAGTTGTCACTGTGCAAGTTTGGTTACGCAGATCGTAAGAACCTTCCTGTGCGAATTGTATGTCCCTGTTACCTGAGAATGATATTTTGTGAAGGACCTTAAAGAAGAATATTAGGTTTATAATAAGTCGCCTTGTCCAAAGTGG